TGGTGTAGGAACAAGACACCAGGAAATTCACTGAAAACTGTTGAACGATATGGGGTATGGTGGAAAAGATAAGGAAGAGTAATAAAGGGGGGCTGACTATTAAAATACAATGCATTTACAGGTAAAATACCCAGGCAAAACCTCACTGAACAATGAACAGACACAAACAACAGAGGACAGGAATATAAAACAGGTCATGTTAAAGGGAGGATAATAGCAGAACGCAGGGGAGGATAAAACAGAGAGGGTAAAGGAGGGTGAATTTGGTTGAGGTACTTTCTATATATGCGTGACTATGGAACACTGAAACTTCTTGAAGTAATTTTAAGAAGAGCTGGGGAAGAGGGAGGATAATGGAGAAGAGGAACTAAACTAGGGTACAATATATGCATGTATGGAATTGTCACAACACAACTCCCTGTACAAGTATCATGTACAAATAAAAATGTTTTTCAAGCAAAAAATAAATAGGGATATAACTATAGGCTATTGTATTCTTGCATGGAGGAGAGGATGAATTCACATATACATAGCACAGTTTTTCCACAATAACAAAGTAAACATTTTATAAATTGCATTTAAGTTGACAAGGAAAAAATTAAGGTGTGAAAGTCTATGTAAATTTTAATGTTGTCAGTAGACCTCTTAAAACATATTTGAACCTCACTGCTGTGATTTAACTAGATCAACTTAGTTAGAACCATATTAGGCTGAACAAGCTGTTAAATTTATTGACAGTAAAACATTTATTGAAGAACAAATCAAAAGCACTCTCATTTTTAAACAAAGTCAGAAGTATGTTTTTATACACATGTTACAAAATGTATAAATAATATGATAAGCCTAAGTAAAACTTACAAGATTCTAGCTTTAATTAATGGTGAATTGAGAAACAAGTATCTTTTAAGTAGTCCATTTTTATGAAAGCCAATATTTAAAAATTCCCAGTTACTAAGTGAAAAACACCTGGTGCTTATGTGTCTTAGCTTTCTATCAGTATAACAAAATACCGAGACAATCAACTTATAAGAGAAATGTTTATTTTGGCTTACAGTTTTGGATGTTCTGGTCCCAACATCAGTTGGCTCTATGACTTTGGATGAACAAAATTGCTCATGTCACAAACAAGGGAATAAAGAGGAAGAGGAAGGTGCTGAGGTTCCACACTCCCCTACAAGGACATGCTACCAGTGATGAAAGGGTTTCCCTCTAAGCCCTACCTCCTGAAGGTTTCTCCACCTCCCAATAGTGCCTGCTCGGGGCCAAGTCTAACAAATGAGCCTTTGGGAGACACAACCTCTAAGCTATAACACTTGGTAATTTGCAGATTAATATTAATGGGTAAACCAACTCACACACTAACAGGTAGAATTGAAAAGCCTGAATTTTCAATATGGCAAACTTCTAAAGCTTAATTTCCCATAAAATGGTCCAGTTCTATAAAACTACACCTTTGGTATACAACAATAATTACACTAAAAATCAAGAAAACTCACAGGTTTAATGAGCCTTTTTTTCCATTGAAACTTGATAATGTTTTCATGAAGGTAGAATTAAAAAAATCTTTAAACAAAAAAAAATACTGGAAGGTTACATAGCCTCCAGAGGGCACAATTCTATGACCTTGCAATTCTGAATTTTGTAGATGTTGAAAGGTGTATCAATGACTGCTTTGTTTCATAAAAGTATTCCTTGTTTCAACAAGGATAAAACGGAAATTGGAAGAAATTCAGTGCAATTAACAGCCAATTACATTACATAGATGAGGCTCCCCAAAAAATCTGCTATTCTGGCTGCTTAACGGCAGTGTTACTTTAAGGAATGCGGATCCTTCTGGTGTCCAATTGTTCTTGGTGAGCTGGACTCTTCTCAGCCTTCCTTTCCCTTTCTATCACATGTCCCCATCTTTCTGCTTATTTAAGTACTACTAGTTTGCTCTTAAAGAAACTAACCAACTCTGCTAGCAGACATATATTTCACCCCCAATGACAGAGCTTCCAGGAAATGTATTTCCTTTGGAAAATGAAATTTACATCTCATGCTGGTTTCCAGTACATGGAAACCCGGGTTCTTTCAGCCTGGTATGTAGCCCCAAAATAGAAAATCTTGTGTGAGCAGTGAGGACTGCTAGAGGATCTCCATGTTCTAGACTTTATGTTCTAAGCCAGCAGGATCAAAGCTACCTGTCCAGAAGAGACCAGTGCTTCTTCACCTCTTCCATACATTAGGTGCCCTTTACAGCCTTACTTGCAATGACCAGAAAAAAGGCTGCCATTCCTTGGTGTCTCTGTTTTAGGGACATGTTACATGTACCTTAGGTGCTCATGAATATTAGAAAAGGCTCACTGGAGGGGGGCAGAAGACTGTGAGAGGAGAGTGAGGAGGAAGCTGAGTTCTATGCAAACATCTCCAAACGTGTTTAATATGTCTAACCTACCAAAACATAAGCTTAGTAACACAGCATGCTGCAGAGCTTTGGTTGTTTAGCACTGTAATGCGGTGGCAGGCTGGCAGCTGTACTAATTGCCACTGGTAGAATTATGAGAGACTATCCTAAATCACTAGCCTGGGAAAAGAACAAAATGCAAATTCTGAAGTATGATTTTTACTAGTGCATGTCACTTTCACAACATTACAGGGCTGAGAAATCCTGAATAGAACTACTATAAGCTGAAGGCTGTCTGTAAAATGGCCTCCATAATGATCTGTAGATGAAACCTTCTTATCCTTCTCTAGGAAACATTCCCTGATTAACTCTGAACTTTTCTGCTCCAGGTCACTTCAGCATCTCAGCACTCAGTTGTTCAGTGTATAGGATTCAGAGACTTTGGCTGTACTTCTCTCTTAGCCTCTCAGCTGAGACCATGGTACCCTGCAGCCATCATCTTCTGCTTCCTCACTTTTCCACTGCCCTTGGCCTGCTGGTGTGAAAAAGGAGGATAGTGGGACTGCAGTCCTCACTTGTGTCAACTGGCATAACCCATACCGTTCATGAACAGTTGTTTTTGAGGAATATAAATTTGACTTGAGAAGAAACATATCCCAGATTTCAAGTACAGGATACTTACAGGAAAAGGACTAATGCCTTAGAATATGTCAGCAGGATGGCATCATTCAGGCGGAAACTTAATCTAGTTTTAGAACTTCATATAAACTGCTATTCTAGAAGTTTCTAGAAAGCTATTGTTGGTTTGGGGTAATTATAAGGTCTCAGCTAATAAGGAGCAGAACTTTTTAAAAATTATTTTCAGTGCTCAAATTACAACCACATCAAAAGTAGACCGAATTTATAGCATGTGAGTGACAGTGTGAGTCTTCAGTGCTTCTGGCTTTGTGCCAGTGGTTCTCCAGGGAGCCTAAATTGTATCCTCAGGCTAGATTTGCTCCGCATATTCTTTTCCTGATTGAGGCTGATGCCACTGATTTCAGTATAGAGACATAGGATGTTTTCTGTGAAGGCCTGCTGGCAGCAGTATGTACTAGGTTGGATGAAGTGAGTACATCAGTGTTAAGGCTAGATGTTTTAGGGAATGTGGACTTGGGAATGATGAATTTGCAGAAGAGAGGTATGTAACTAGCCCTTTTTCTCCCATCTGCATGCAAGATTACAGATGCATCAGAGAAAACTGTTCCCTTTAATTTTTATTTACACTTTTTAGAAGATGGTATCATGGAACAGGAATCATGCTGTCTTCATTGTGTGTGTATTTCTGTCTTGTAGAGTCTTCTTCCATTTTAAAAACAATGCCCAGTACCATCACCAAAGGTTACGTCAATAATAATAAATTGCCTTTCAGACAGGATTTGGGCTAATAAGCACCGTGTTTGGATTGTCATTTCCCTTAAATCATGATTTAGAAGACAAGCAAACCTGGGCATTGGACCAGGTGTTTTCCTGGACTCATGCATATGTCTCTTGCCTCTGACTCCACCACTTCTCAGACACACCTCTCCATCATACTTTAGTTACCCTTCCTCCAAAACTCCTGATCAGTTGAAGTTAGAAAACTAGTGGATGTCATGAGGTAAACACAATCCTAGATGTTGTGCCCAATATATCACCACTTGAGCATTCCAGGATGTAAAAGTAACTGAAAGACAGAAGCTAACATGTGTAATGAGAGGATATAACAAAGACTATATCAAGTATATTAATGGCAAATACAATTTAAACTATGTATGCATTCTCTTTGTGTCTCTGTCTTTCTCTCTGTTTCTCTCTCTTGTGTGTGTGTGTGTGCCCTAGACTCAGGTCACTAGAGGAATTCATGTTACTCTTTTACTCAGGAAGTATAATGGAAAGCAGAGAGAGTGAGGAAAGGGAAGTGATATAGCAAAGTGGGATATTGTGTCACTTTCACTGCTTACTAATGACACAACCAGCCAGTCTACTTTTATATTATACTTGTTATTCACTGCCCTATATTTATTGTAAATATTTTTGTGACATCTCAAGTATACTTAAACTCTCCTCAAGTTGTTGTAGATCTCTATACAAATTTGGCCTGCAGTTTATAGTGGGTGACCGGTCCCTACTAACAGGTATTTCCTTAGTATGCCTTTATGAAGACTTTACTCTAAAAGAACAGGTCAAATGTGAGGAAAATGGCTCAAAAAAATGTTTGGAGTTGCAGAAAACCTACTCACTTTTGGTGGAAAAGTTAGGTTTTATTAATATTACGAGATTATTCTTTTGGAATACAGAAACAAAGATTGCCTTGGGATATGGGATAGAACAAAACTGAAAGATACATTCACCAGAAACCCACAGGTAATCAGACCAATTTAATAGGTCATCCTTATTATCCTTTGCTAACAGGTGGGGGTCATCAGTACATCTACAGGAATATAGATGTAAGATGTGAAGGTATTCAGCCTGTCCATTTATGGTGCTTCCTACTTTCTGTATAATGGAAATCAGCAGGAAATTCCACTGCACACACCCTAGGTCCCACAACAGGAATTAAGAGAAGAGAAAGTAGTATTTACTAATCCATTACCAGTGCGTGGTAGACATGATGCTGGTGATGATGGAGTGTGCTGGAGTCTTGCTCTGAGCAATCAGGCTACCGAATGGGACAACACCAGTCTTTAGGCTCTTATCATTTTGCTTTTTACGCTTAGGCAGGCATAACTCTCCTCTGAGCTTCCCAGACTGAAGCATTCATCCTGAGTTCTAAGGGTCCATTGTATGATAAGGTTAATGTTCCATGTATGAAAGTGTAGTTGGCTCTACTCCACATCAAAACATCCCCAGAGAGAAAAACAGAGTACAGGACTATTTTTGTGCAGAAGTTGCCTTTTATGAGAATTCCAGCACAGAATGCAACCTCAATAGCTCCCTGAAAATCTGTTTCCCATGTCAGCAGAAAGTATTTTGAAGTGGCTTTTGTCTTTGTCTGGGTAGGTGAAGGGAGTATATGTAGTAGATGCCCATTTAAAGATAAAAGCAATCATGTTTATTTTATCTACATTCTCATTCTCTCTGTCTGTCCATCTTTCTTTTGACAGGATCTTTCTGTATAGCTCGTGTTGGCCTCATACTCATAATCCTTTTGCCTCCTGAGTTCTGGGATTATAGGTAAGAACCACCAAGTTTGACTCTCATTTTCTCTTTTCAGTCAACATTTTCTCAGGTGTTTTGCCCCTATATCCTTCTTCTTCTTCTTCTTTTTTTTTTTTTTTTTGCACTGTCTTCCTGGACCATTAACATCCATGTTAGAAAGAAAGGAACCAGATGGTCATGGTAACCAGCATCAGGGTGGTTATTCACCTCAGTTGTAAAATTTTTAGATACAATTTTGCATATACATTTGTATTATGTAATCCTCCCTAAATGTTCAGGATGACAGTCCAGATCATTTCTGTTCCAAATTGCTACCTTCTTTAGCCATCTTTTATTTACTTCCATCCACTGTGCTTTTCTTTCTCTTTCTCTGATAAGTTTTGAAGGAGGCATATGGAATAATGATGGTCTGCTCTTAGAAATTAGTACATACTAAAAATTCCAAAATATTAATTTCATATTTAATACTCAAATCATCACATATCTTGAATACCAAGTGATGAATGTGAATTGGTAGCATTATGGAAAAGGTGATGGATGTAGTTTAAAATATGAACAGTAGAGCTGCTATGTGATTTAGCAATCCCACTTCTGAAAACATTTCCAAGGGAAATAAAGTACTTATCTCCAAGAGATATATGAACTCTCATTTCTTTTTGTGGTACTGGAGTTTGAATTCAAGGCTTCACACTTCCCAGGCGGGCAGTCTCTGCTTGAACGACAGCAACGGCCCCTGCACTCTCATTTTTATTGCAGCATTATTCATCTTAGTTAAGATAAGGAAACTTCCTGAGTTTTGACTGGTGGAAGAATGGTATAAGAAATATGAGAAGTATATACAGTGGAAAAGTATTCAGTCTTAGCTAGAAGAAAATCCTGTCATCTACAAGAATGTGGGAGAAACTAGAGAACATTATGTTATATAAAGCAAGCCCAACTCGGAGAAATGAATACTGAAAGAGCTTACTGAAATGTGGAATCTGAAAAAATTTGAACTCATAGAAATGGAGAGTTCAGGATGGTTATATGAATCATAGGGTACAGGACCTTGGGAGATGATGGTCAGTGCGTATAACACCAGCTTAAAGATGGTAAGTTCTGGAGAATCAATGTTCAGCATGGTAGTTATAGTTAATAACAATGTATTATATAATTGAAATTGATAAGAGAGTATATATCTTACATATTATCACCACATATGTAGAGAAAGTAATTCTGTTGAAATGAGAGATGTGTTAATAAATTTGATTGTGGTAATCATTTTTTAATGTATACATATGTGAAAGCATCATGTACACCTTGCATGCAAACATTTTTTCAATTATATCTTAATAAAGCAGGAAAAAACTTACATAAAAGGAATAGTTAGTATTGTGTATGTAGCTCAGTTGTAGAGCGAATGCTTAGCATGGTCAAGTCTCTGGGTTCAATCCCCAGCATTCTCCCCATCACCCCCCACAAAAAAGGGAAAAACAAAAAAGAATACTGTCGAGTGACAGGCTAGTTGTATTCATTGAACTTTTGTTTTGAGAGATTGTCTTGTTATGTACAGCCACATGTTCTTGAACTCCTGGTCCTCCTGCCTCAGCTTCCTAGGGCTGGGATTATAAGCATGACCCACTACACCCAGCTTCATTGGACATTTATTACCCTGTAACATTTGTTACCTTGTAATAGAAAAGTCAAGTTTTACATAAGAAGACATTAAGACCAACCTTGAATGTGAAATGGAGGGCTCAAAGGCAGTTGGATCTCTTAGTCAAATGTTCTAGACAAATCTTCCTCGTCTCTGTGGTTTTTTTTTCAGTTTGCTTCATGTCTGTGTCTTTCAATCTACGCAAACTTCACAATAGCTCTAGTAGGAATTTCACCATCACCTGCCACTGAATCTAGGAAGTGGGAGTATAGAGAAAACCAAAGTCCAGCGGCAAGAGGACCATCCGTGACTGAGGTAATTTTTCTCAGGACAGTAGAGAGGTAACAGGGAGCTCAACTAGCAAATGGGGAGCAAAAGAAAGAGAGGACCTATGGAGCTATACTTTTATTAAGGTTCCCTTAGGCTTTCCATTGGTGATTGTGAATTGACTAGTTAAAAGAAAACACATGAGAATGGAGGAACTTATCTACATGAATTGAGTGTGAACTGTCAGGTTATGTCAAAGTCAGCAGCTGTTGGGTGGGGTGTGTTTGGGTCAATGAGATGAAGAAAAAGCAGGTTATATCAGAAACATGAAGCAGGAAGTGGCAGTTTTAAATTAGCCAAATGTGAAAGGATGCTGCTGGGTTTCAGTTTATGCCAACACTAAGAAGGGTGTTATTATATACTGAAGAAATTAAGATTAAAGTAAAATTACCCTATCAGGTTGTTTAATAGAAGTGTTGATTGGTATTTAATTCCCTGCTTTTTCAAATATATCTCATTTCGTTGGCCCCCTAACAGGGACATGCAATCCTTAAGAATGAGTTGAAGGGCTGGTTGGCTCAAAGAACTCATTACATTATTTAGAAATATCACTGTGCTATTTTTCCTTTATGAATTTGTATTTCAAGATTCAGAGGATTTCAGCCTAATTAATAATCAACCTCTTTCTTGAATATATCTCTTTGAGGAGAACTTTAGCATCATTAGTCACTGTGTCAAGGAAATAAATTTGCAAGCAAAAGATTATTCTAATGTAAAAATTCATAGTAAGGAGATTTCCATTATCTGAACAGACCATCTGCCAATATTCCCAAAGTTTTTCTTGTATTGTTTCTTCTTTCTTAGTTTTCAACAGACTTGGAGATTTAATGATTTCCTTGAGTTGTTCCATAGGAATTTGCCAGTCCTTAGCCAGATTCTGTAAGGATGCATCATCCACTCCAAAGATGTCTTGATATTCATATAAGCTTTCCTTCAGCTTCTCCACATCGCTTTTCTCAAGGACATTAGGTGTGTAAGGCAGTAATGTTACCTTCAAGGCTTCTAACCTGATTAAGTGTTTCAGAGACTCTCGCTTTCTTTCAATGGCTGCCTCAGCAATATTGAGCAGAGAAAGCATGAAATTGTTGTGCTTTTGAGCAGGGAGCTCCTTAGATAAGACGTTGTTCAGGATTTGTAAGTCATACTCAGATAAATTGTTGTTAGAGATCAAGAAAATTTGTGGTTCATCAATATTATTCTGTTTAAAACTCTGTGCAAAATGGTATCGGATCTGCTGAAGGAATTTTTCTTTTTCAAAGGCAGTTGGATGAATTTTCTCTTCATTTTTTAAGTCAGAGTCTACCTTGGTTTTCACATAGTAGAAATCCTTCTTCATTTTTCTGATCTCTTTGGCAAGATCTAAATCATGTTGCGTGAAGCGTGTACCAGAAATGATAATGAAGAAGTCATAGTCATTGAATTTTACTTTCTCAAGATAATCATTTGCATGTAAATTAGTGGTTTCCATGGCAGGCAGTTCCCATAAAATCACCTTGGAATTCTTTGGGTGTTTGCATGGCATTCTGTGCTTGGTGATCTCTAGCACCCCAAAGGGAGCTGCATCTTTTTCTTCAGGTTCAACCCTTCTCAGGGCATTGATGAAACAGGACTTCCCTGCTCCAGACAACCCTATCACAGCCACATTAAATGGAGTGTTATCAATTTCTTGTAATGCATCATTTATTGCAGAGTTTACCCCCTGAATGTTTCCTTTGGTCAGTTGTAATTTGATTGAATGGATGATTTCCTGAGAGATGATTTTGTTTCCTATCTTCAAGTTCTTAAAATATGCAGTAAATCTGGAGTCCCAATCTTGTTGTTCTCCACAATTAAATTCATGAGAAAGCTCCTGACCCATGATTGTGAGCAAACAAAGGAACTGAAAGAAAGAGGGGAGAGGAAAGTTGAAATACATTGCTGTGCTAAAAGCTTTGCTTTAATCAAGAGTGCTGCTGCCTTATTTTTCCCCTTTGTTATGGCCTGACATAGAGCAGTTTTGATATCTTCCTGCTTTCTCTGAATTAAGCTCTTTATTGTGGAAATATTTAAACTCAAACAATAAGAGAAAATATTACAACAATCTGTATGTATCATTTAGCCAACATCAACAGCCATCAAAACATGACCTGTGCTATTTTGTCCAATTCTAATGGAGCATACTAAAGCAAATCCAGGAATTACAAATAATGCCTGTGAAACATGGGATCTATCTTGGATGGCCATTTGATCTCTAAGAGTATTTTGAACATTCTTAGAACTCTTATTCCTGTCTTGTAGAAATTGATTTTCAATTTTAAACATGGACAAAAAGGTATTTTCTCCAAGATTCAAAAAGTTTGACAAAATTTGCAAGTAAATTTTATATACAGAAACATTTTAAAAATCATCTCCACCAAGCACTGGAAATCCAGGTCTCTAGTCTTTTACAATTTTGTTTTATTGTTATAAAAGATTAGCAACTCCATCAAAGAAAATAATTTTACATAACTAAGCAGCAGAATTCTCATCCAACTTTATGAAGTGTGAGTGATGCCAGATGTTGATGAGTTTACTCTTTCTTAATGTGTTTACTCTTTCTGATCTGATGAGCATGTGTTATGAATCCTCCTTTGAACTCCATTCTATTACATGTGCTTTTTTCTTGTTAAACTGCTATTACAGATGGGAGGGCAAGATGGAAGAGTAGAAGTTTCCCCCATCAGACTCTCTGAATGAGAAGAAACTGGATAACAAAGGAGAGACTGCATTTTGAAGATAAAAAGAGAGGAAAATCATGGAGAATGACGAAAGTGGTGCAGGATGGAGGAAAAATACAGTGAAAAAGAAAGGAAATAGAGCACATTAAGAAATAGTTTAAAGGTTCAACTCCAGCTTCTGTGAAGGAAGTATACTGAACACAACAATTACAAAATAATAAGGAAGATGGCAGAAATAAGCCTGGTAAAAACTTTGAATAAATACAAGTGAATTCAACTCACCAAGTAGAGTAAAAAAGTCAACAGAATAATGATAATATAAGTTCAAAACTAGTGTGTTGGAAGGCATTCCTTTCAAAAGAATATAAAAACCAACATGAATTAGAAGAAATAATTAAAGGTTTAAAACAAATATATTGTATTATGTAAAGAAATATCAAAACACATAAATATCAGGAATATTTGCACACTTTAAAAAAGTCAAACAGATATTCTATGAATATTTTCACTCAACATACAGGAATTTTAATTATTGCATTGCTTACATTAGTATAGATTGGAAGACATTGCCAATTTCTATCACCAGAGGTAGTGATAAGAGAAGTAGAGTGGTTCCCTCCAAGAGGTCCAATGGACAAACAGAAAGGAAAAATTCAGAGATGAAATACAAACAGTATTGTGTTAGGCAGTATTCCAAGATAAACTCCAACAATAGATGACTCCTGTATTCTCTTGATTTTATAATTCTCCCCACTTCCAAATGTTGCCAGACCTGCACATTGCTTCTTATAAGGAGAACATGGAAAAGGTGACTGATTCTGTTAAAAGGGATGGTGATTTCATCTTTCTAACGGACTCACTCCTTTGCCAACTTTAAAGAAGTAAACTGACATGTGGCAGATAACTACATGGTAAGGATTGAGAGCAGCTTTCATCCAATAGCTACCAAAGAGCGAAAGTTCTCATTGAATAGATTTTGAGGACATAAATCATGCCACTACTGTGTGAACACACTTGGAAGCGAATGCGTCTCCTCACATATCCCTCAGATGAGACCCCAGCCCTGACTAACTTCATGATTGCAGTCCTCTGAGGAAGGCTGAAGGGAGTTATCCTGTGAAACCATGCCCAGATTCACAGCCCTCAGAAACTAAAAGAAATTAATTGTGCATTGTTTTAAGTTGATGAGTTATGGGTAGTATTTTTTTTTAACAGAAATAGATAACTCTTGTACAATGAATGCCTGTTAAAGATATAAGGTGAAGGAAGAAAAAGTTGAGATTGAGGCCTTTGACTCAACATTATTCACTCAATTAAAATTACAGATACACAGCTTGATACTGCATTTGCTGCAAATATATATATATAATTAAAAGAAAAATACATATATAACAATTCAATTGTTGAGTCTGGGTACTGGAGTGGAGTGAGTTGGTGTATGGGAATAAGTGGGATGATAGAATGATGAAAGAAGGGACAGGCTTGCTAGAAGCACAGGGTAGCAGTCCATACAAGGAATGATGGCATTCACTCCATGACTGTAAATGAAGACTCCAGAGCAAAAGATAGATACAATAGACTAAGAAAGTTATCCTACGTCATATGGAATGAAAGCAAATAAACCCAATATAGCAAGAATAAGGAAAAGAATAAAGAAAAAGGATAGATATTCCTTTAAGGTATTCTTGAAATGATGTGAATGAGCAAAATTAGAGATGTTAAAAGTGTTAATAAATTCTAGATGCACACTTGTAATCCTAACTACCTGAAAAGCAGAAATGGGGATTTTGACCTTGAGACCCGCCTAAGTAAATTTAGCAGACTCTATCTAAAAAACAAAAACAAAAACAAAAACAAAAAACAAAAAACACTTGCCAGCAAATGTGAGATCCAGGGTTAAATAGTCAAAATTGAACAAGTGATATATTAGATTTGAATCCAATGGCACATTTAAATAGTATTTAAATGTAATATTAGAAATTTCAAGTCAGAATAAATTTCTGTGAATGCATATGAATCAGAAACATTTCTATAGACATGAAGTATTGAAATTACTGGGAGGTCAAATAGAAAATGACAGTAACCAGTAAACATGATAATAATTACAAAGAATTTAACTTTCTCTAAGAGGTTTGAACCAAATAGGTCAAAAAGTTCTAGAAAACATTCAAGGATCTGAGAGCATACATGTGTAATTGTAGGTTAAAAAAAGAGGAGAAAAACCTATTTTCACATGCTCAATTCATTTTAAATGTGAAACAATGCTGACGACAAACTGTATAATAAAAAGAAAAGAAAATGACAGATCATTCTTAATTATAGTCATAGCCAGAAATAATTCTAAGTAATAAAAAGAGCTAACAGAGAAGTCACATATACCTAAGTATATATATAAGTATACATGCATGTGTGCATACACATGTATCAGGTAAAGTAGAAAAATTTGAATAATCTATTAACATAAGTATGACATATGAGAAGAAGCAAAAAAACAAGATTATTGTTGAAAAGAACCTTTTCAACAAGAACTGGCTCATATTTCACATCCTTACTTTCTTTTCTTTTTTAATCTGTCTTTTCAAAGACTTTCTATGTCAGCATATGAACTCCCATGATTAATCAAGGAAACTCAGAGTAACCTTGACACCTTCCTTGATCCTCATCTCTCTGTCTAATCCTGATACCCATTTGTAAGCAACCCTTTTGGCTGTTTCTCCAAATCTATTCACACTTGATCACTTGTCACACATCAGCCACTTTACCTTCTCCGACATGCCATCGTTTCTAGCTTAGATTATGCCAACTGAGCTTTGACTCTTTTTTTTTTCCCATCCTTATCTTGGCAGCAACACTAATTTTCAAACACAGGCAAATTTATCCTTTTAACACATGAATTAGATCAAGTCACCCCTGTTTATAAAACTCTCATAGGGACTCTTGGTTTATTCTTAGTGAAAGTCCTTCACATACACAACGCACCTGCCAGGCACGACATACCTTTGACCTCATTTACTACTTCTGGGCCCCTTGGCCTCCTCTTCCATCCACTCTGCTATTTCCTGTGCTGTGCTCTTACCTCAGGACTTTTGCACTTATTTTCTGCTGTTGTTTCCTTTATTGCTTTTCCCTGATGGCTACATGGTTACTAATTTAATCTCCTCCCTCTAGGTTCTATAAATTATGTAAGGATTTTTTTAGATTTTATATTCTTACTGTGATAAAATTCATCTAACATTGTCATTCACCATCCTCTTTTCTGTTTCTTTTTCTTCATAGAACTTACAGCTATATGATATATTCACTTCATATATTTACTTGTTATCAGCTTCCCACAATATAACCGAGCCTCAGAGTGGCAGGATGTATTTTTGTCATGTTCACTGCTCCAATACTAATACCCACAGAAATGTGATAATTTACCATTTGGAAAATGAGTGGAGGAAATAGGGAAACCAATTAAATGCTCTTTTGAATAGTTGTGGATATTCTGTTGTTCTTTTGAATAGCTGTGGCTATTCTGTTGTTCTAACTGCTCTTTGGGTCATTTAAGTTCTACCCCATTTACAGAGAGTGGTGCCAGGATTCTGATAAGGATAACATGCAAATACAGAATAGGGACTGTGTTAGTCAGACTCTTTGTTGCTTGACAAACACCTGAGAGAAAGTTTAAAAGAGGAAAGAGTTATATAGACTCATGGTTTCAGTCCATTGTCTCATGACCCTGTCTCTTTTGTCCTGAGGTAAGTTTGAATATCATGGCTGAAGGTTATGGAGTAACAAAGTTGTTCTCTTCCTGGTAGCCATGTAGTAGAGAGGAGGAACAGGAATGGATGGCTTCACAGTAACACTCCCAGTGACTTCTGTCTACAATTAGGCCTTACCTTCTGCAACTGTACCTGCATCCCTGTCTTTACATATTTTGATTTACCAGTAGATTATTCAGTTGCTGAAGGAAGAGGCCTCAATCTGACAATCTCGCAATCTCATAATCACTTCCCTAATGTGCTTCCTCTGTATACTGATTGCATTGAGGACCAGGCATCCACACATGAGACTTTGGGAGACACTTTGTATCCAAACCATAACAGAAGGTCTCTTTAGAAACACGAAGCACTGGCTGTATGAACCAACACAAGCAGAGCAGCCAGCCTCCCTGCACACATGGCCCCTGTTCCCTGTCAAATGTAAAGGAAAAAAATTCATAAAGCTGTTCCAGAAAGAAGAGCTACAGAACTCTGCTTAATCTCATTGCAAATACAACGTTCCTGTATTCCAAAGAGCAGGCTGCCACCCACATGACTCTGACTAAACTGAGTGTTTGCTTAAAAACAAAACAAAATAAGTAAAAGAACAAATGGATGGAAAAATCTTCATAGATTTCATAAAACACATTAAGTGAACTTTGGTTAATGTCATTCATATGATTACCAATCACTCCAGTGAACTATTAGGCAAATTTTTTTCTTCTCAATAATCCAGAATCCAGATGCCTTAGAATAGGAAAACAAAATACTAGGATAGGCAGGATAAAGTTTTTATTGGCTGAGGATTACTGTTAAAGTAAGTCACATAGGCCTCAATCTTTGTTTTTTGAGTAGAACTGTGGATACATAATAAGTATAGAATGGCAGAACAGAACTGCAAGAGATGGTATCAGGAAACCATGACACAGAAGCCACCATGAAGAACATAGGCAAGGTGAAGACATGCATATAATTCTGGCAGTGGTTCTCAGAGTGATTTTGTCCCTATTGGGGACATTTCTCGGAGACATATCTGATTGTCACACCTGAGATGCTACTGGCACATTTTGTGCAAAGGCAGGAATGCAAAAGATAGGAATTCCTTTTCATACCCCCACATTTGACTCCCACAGGTAAAAATGTTTCAGGCTAACCATGCTATTTCAGGCTAAAAATGTCAAGGTTGACCAAACTTAGGCCATGGGAACTGAGTGAACATCTAGTCTTTCTCATTTACATACTGAATAGCATAGCTCAGTCTTTGGGTAGTGAGCAGGAGAGACAAATGGGGGAAAAATTACTTTCATAATTATACGAGAGCTGATTGGGAGAAAACAGTTATGGTGATGGCAATCATTCTCCCTTATGCAAGGAAAAGCACAGAAATGTGAAGGAATCTAGTATGCTGGATTGCAAGGAGATGGCTAGGACGTAGGCAAAAGCTGAGAACTGTGCCAATACTTCAGATTGCCAAACAGAGATTTTTCTACTTATACTTTCTCAGAGCAGATCAGATGCTGGGGAGAATGATAAAGAACAGAGATACCAGGAGAGGCATAAAGCAGGCTAGAATGGACCCAAAGTGACCCAGGAAGGTTCCTGGGAGCAGCCTCAGGTCACCTGAGAATAACTGGGCTGGGAGGAATAAATGTGGAAGCAGCATCATGGCCAAAGTTCTAAAGAGAGATCATCTATAACTGTTGACCACAGAGATGTGAATAAATGGAATTTGACACGAGAAGTTAAACTACAACTATAGCAATCAACACCATAGCTAAATTTATTGAGGGAGGGGACAGGTACCCGTGGGCATGTACAAATGTCCCTTAAGGACACAGCATGTATTCCTTCACCAGATGTCACCTTCTCAGTTTTTTTTCTGTCATTCATTCAGTCACAACTCTGTGTTGTAATGATAAGATTAATCTTAAATATCTTGTCCGGTGAGTATGAACAGAAAAGGAAGTGAAAAGAACTTGAGATTTCATTCCTTAGAGAAGGGTGCATGTCTAAATGACATTATTTTATCAATATACCCTGACATGGCTCATTTTTCATCACAAATGTAAGATTATTAGTATTCCTACATTACAATAAAAAAAAAAAAAGAAAATGAAAAGACTCTCCAGTCCTGGATTTCCACAGCCAGTTGTAGCAGAAGTGGTGTGCAGAGGATGTCCTTTCACTCCAAGTGTAGCTTCCACTGGAGTGCAAGGCATGAGAAATGCTGAATTGAGTGGAGAGAAGGAAGAAAAAAATGACTAGAAAGTAGCATAGAATTGAATAGAGCAAACTTCATGTATTCTGTAGTGAGGTTTCAGAATATATTCTGGTACATCATGCATTTTCAACCATTCTAGGGAAAGGCACTAGAGGCAGGTTAAAAAAAATACTTGCGTAAATTTTCCATCTAAATAATATCCAAAACATTGGCTATAAGTCTAGGTAAACTTGAGCACCTAAGTCATCAGCTAATCTTTCCTCCTCCCCATTAAGACTCCCTAGCTTCCAAATGGAGTATACCAGCTTTCCAGTCCATGTTCCTAAATGTCTTATTACCCATCAGTTCCTTAGAGAAAAAAGATATCAGCTCTGAATGCTTTTGCTGAATTACCTGTTCTTCTGTGTCTGGTTGATGTGCTCACTGTTGCTTAGAAATTGTCTCCTACTGTGCTCCGGTCTCTTCACTTGAAATCCACCTCTGCTTCACTCATACAAAGCAGTAGATACTAGGAGAGGACTTATACATCCACTGATTTCTGTCCAAGTCCTCAGTGTGCTGTTGGCCAGTCATGAGTGTGGATCTCATTTCATTACAGAATTCTGAAGAATAGAAGAGTGAAACCAAACTAGCATATGTTTGTCTTCCCACTGACTCAGCCAATTCTGGGAAGAGGAAGTTGCAAAGTCCTGAGGTAACAAATAAGCTGGGTGAAACATGGCTTGGCAGTGAGGGAAACACAGAGAAGCAACTTACTAACAAGATTGGGGGTCATTTTCTCTGACCCCCAACTCCACAACAGTCTAAACTAAGATGCACACAACAGAATTCCTGGGCTGTCAACAAATTTCAATTTCAGTCTCACCCTGTACATCCTCTGCTTTCAGCTTCTATTACTGTAACTATATTTCCTCACTATCATTTATTCCCAGTAACTTCACCACTATTGTTATAGACAATAGTGAGGACTGGACTATAGGAATGGAGGTTTGGGGTAGGGCAGTGAGAAAACAGAAAGGATCGGAAAGTCAGTATGGATGAACCCATGTCAGTATGGTGAACCCACCTAACTGTCCTGGACTGTGCACATGCAAGGCCCTCACTCTCAATTGCCTTCTGGTTCTCAGTAGCTGCGTTGCAGTGGGGGTGCTGCTTATGCATAGTTCAGTCAAAACAACAGAGGCCCTCTAGCAATTAAGTCATTTGCCCAAAATCAAATAGAAAGGAGATGTAAGACTTCTCTAACCATCTTGTAAATTGCTGTCATTCACTCAAATAGTTTATTGAACATGTTTATGTTCAACAATCTCCCTTGGGGATGGAGATCCAGGGAGACATGAAGAACTAACACCATGCAATTGCATTTACCTTAAAGTCTCATGAAGTAGAACATATCCATGCCAAGGAAGCTCTGCTTTACAAATATTGACTAGATCAGGTCATAAGATGAGAGCTATTACCTAACATAAATATAAGTGTCTGTTATAGTCACAGTGTCATTTATTTGACCATTGAAGCTCATTCAGTTGTAATTTGCGTAATGTGTTTCAACTAAAGGTGGTGCCAGGCCCTGCAGCACTGTTTGCACACAATTTCTCAGTAGAAGTAAGGCCCTGTTTTACAATGGAAGGAAGTCAGTCATCTCTCAGAGGCCCCATATGACACTGCTGTATTTCAGGAATCTAGGACATTTCTGGGAATGTGAAAGTGAAGCTATTTTACTATGCTGCTTGCTAGTCACAAAAGTAGTGTGTAAAGCTGGAAGTGGGGAGATGTGAAATGATTGAAGGGAGCCCTGGCAGACAGTGGATGAGAAGGGGAATTAGCTTCTTTACTTATCCATCCTCTCTAATTGTCTTTTTGTATCTCGCACTTTTTTATCATAGTACTTGTCTCCTAGCCACACTGCAATATATTTATTGTCATTTGCTTTTTAGCAGTGAAATATTTATTTTAAATTAGTGTATGTTAAATGTGCAATATAGCATGTTTCATTATGGTATTTTCATTCATATGAGACTCTGGGGACATCGAATGAAATGTCAAATTTATTAAATTAGTAACTGTTCATGTCATGTTGTGAATTTGTGTGGAAATATAACCAAAGCAATTAAAAAACCATGTCTAGCAGAAGACATGAGTAGAAATGAAATTCCAGTTTTCATGTCTGACTTAAGCCTAATGTCTAATTGATGGGAACTGTTTGGTCTGGGAGCCTAAAGGACAGATGAATGAGTATCCCATCCCCCATGGAGAGCACTTTGAGCCCTGCATCCTGAGAAGGAGTTATAAATCTGCATTCCTGCACCCTGAGAAGGAGATACAGGGTCTCATAAATCTGCCACAGGACTGATAAAAAAAAAATGCTCTCAAGGTTGTTTCCCCCCAATAAGAGGCAAACAGACCAGCTCATCAAAGACAGCCCATGCATGTGAATCCACGACCAATGACAAGAACCCACCTAACCCTTACCCTTACCCAGAGTTAAAGAGTCCATAAAAAGCCCCAGCCTTCACCTGAGCAGAAAGCCACTGGTTTCTGGGCTCTGCTGCACTGCTCTAGCTGTAGCCTTTCCTTTCTCTCTAATAAATCTTACTTTGTGTACTGGCTTTGTCTCACGAGTCAATCAACTGCCTCATGAGCCAGTTCTCTGGCCTGTGAAGGCCAGGACCCTCGATACTGGCCCGCAACACTTCACACCAGCATATAACATAACAAACAATCTATATACTCTTCATCCTAATCTTAGAAGTGAAGTTTCAGAATGGCATACTTATTAGTTAATTTATTAGTCTTCTTCTGAGAAAAACTTTATACATGTACAGAAGGTTACTGCAATGATCTCAGCATCCTCCAAGCTGGCATTTCTTTATGATGGTTTACAAAATCAGTGAATCACATCAGAAGAAACCCAGTTTGTATGTAACTCACCTGCTTGTACAAAAATGATTCATCTGATTCTAGGTATAATTTATTATAGTGAGTCTCTCATTAAAAATCATGCAAAGATTTTCATGATTTTAGCACATTATGAGCTATGTTGGAGATATGTAGTTCTCAATATAAAAAGGTATTATTCATAATTAACTATATGGGACATTTTAACTGAAGAATATCATTATTTACTCCATTGTCATGGTCTCTCACACCTTATACACAGGAAGGTCATAGATCGTAGGCTTTAGTAACATACCAAAGGTACATATGATAAATATGGAGGTAAAGAGCTATATCTATCATAAATAGCTGTGTCACTGTATCTATTTGTCCATCTACCTATAGAGAAATCTGGTTTCAACACAGAAAAAATTTCTTCTTCATGATTATATTCCTAGTTTCATCAGTACATGTAGCATAGTAGGGACCCCAGAGAGCCCTGAACATGTACTGAGATGGAGGACTATTTAATTTCACTGCAGAAGGAGCCAGTGTTGAAGCCAAACTGGTCACTGTCACCATCATCACAACAGTGAGAAGCAATGCCAAGACCCATCCCAAGCAACCTGGACAGTTGAGCAAAGAACAGTGGCCCGAATGACCTCATGACAATAGTTTCCCTTGGCAGGGACAAGAAGGTCATTGCAACAAAGGTTTGAGAATCAAAAAATGGTTGAATGTAAGAAGTGGATATGGTTTCTTCAATAGGAATGACACAGAAGAGGATGTATTTGTGCAGCCGACTGCCACAGAGATTAACTCCAAGACATTCCTCTCTACAGAGTAAGGGATGTGGAGAATGTGGAGTTTTCTGTTGAAGGAGAAAAGGGTGTGGAGGCAACAAATGTCCCTAACCCTGTGGAGATTCAATTCAAGCTCAAACTGTGCAGGAGACCATAAATATTATATATGCTAAACATGTCCTAGGGGTCCTTCGCACAATTATCAGCAGAATTATGAGACATGTTAGAGTGGAGAAAAGAAGAAAGGATTACATTGTGCTTCCAATGGACATGCCTAACAAAGCTGGCCGTACTGCAGGCAAAAATTCCCAACTTACTGCTTATGGAGGGAGCCCTGTGGCTCCTTTTCTAGGAGCAGTGATGGAGGGTGCTGACAGCCAGGATGCAGGAAAACAATGTAGACCATGGAACAGAATATATCATTGTTTTAACCCATGATTCCCTGGGGCCTCTTCAGTAAATGCAGATCACAGAGGATGGCAGTAAAGAGAATACAGAGAATCACACAAGACACAATGTCGGTAACCACTTGACTTTGGTACACCCACAACTGCAGTTACTGTGCCAGTCCAGAAAATCCTAAACCAGAAGATGATAAAGAGACAAAAACAGCAGATCTGTCAGCTTAGAACTGGTGCATTCTAGAGGCTAAGCAGGGTAAGACTGTAAATACCAGCTTACCATCTCTACCATCATCTAGTTTAGTCACCCAATGAGAAGAAATGAACATGAAATTGCAGCAATGAGAATGAGCTGTAAATTGGTCTGAAGTTCTTGCTTTTTGTGAGTTAACCAGATAAAGAAAAATATCTGCATTATCTGTGAGGCACTGTTTTTTTTTGTAACCTAAGTATGTCTCTTTTTTTTAATGACAGGTGTATATTTTTCGAAAGACTGGTTTTTCTCTCTTTTTTTTTTTCTAGGTTAATTCTTTTTGATCTAACCTTTTCTCTAGTTCCTGAAGACTGGTTTTTCTCAATACACCTTTGATGGTTTCTGAATTCTTTCAAATGCAGTAAAGTTGAAATATTTAAGAGCTTCATTTTTTAATTTGTAATAAATGCTTATATCTTGATACTTAAAAAAGTCAACCAACTTGAAGTATGTACTTTAAAGGTTAAATAATAATAAAATCATAAGAGATTACATGCCTGTGCAGAAGAAAGTGATTTTATTTGCATACAGGTTTTCCACTTTTTATGCATTGCATTAAAATTGACAAGGGGAATTAAGGCAAAAAGCTAAATGTAATGTTTTTATATGGTGAGCAGACCTCTGTAAGTATATTCAAGTGTCTCTTCTGTAATTTAACTTGATGAACTAACTAGACCAGTGTTATGTTGACAAGCTGTTAACCCAAATGTATGTGAAAACAGTAAGCAAGCCAATATTAATATTTTAAAGTATTTTAAAGTAATAATATATCATTAAAATATATTTCCATAAAATATTTCTGTTTTTAGAAGAAGTTTGAAATGAGGGACGTGTTAAAGAACTTGATTGTGGTAATTGAAAGTGAACAAGTTGGTAAGAGAGACATACTGAGAAAGAATCTGTGAACTTCATAAGCAGCAGGTCTTTATTAGGGAGAGGAGACCTGAGAGGGATCCTCAGCATCAGAGTAACACTCTGAGAGGGGCGAGAGCACACCTCTCTTACAGGCTTGGGATTTTAAACATCCTGTGGCATGGAAAAGGGATGGTGGAGGGGGATGGGTGTTAGGTAAGATGGTTGGGAAGGAGGATGGGGGAGGTGCTAGACATTAGCAGGAAGGTCATTGGGGTTGGGCAGCTATGCATGTTGTTTTCTCAACATTCTAGCATTCCAGGCTTTTTTATATATAATATATATATCACATATAGGCACATACACACACACACACACACACACACACACACACATGTATATATGCACATACATAAGTGGCTAGGGGCAGTGTGGGGAGTTGTTCAGCCTGGAGAGTTTGTAGAGGCATGATGGTCTTGAACTACTCCCCTGAGGCAGTCTGGGAAATGGCAGTAATACGTTCCTATAAAAATTTTTGGAGGATATTAATGAGGCATGGGAGGAATATTACAGCCAGACAAATAAGGATGAGAGGGACCATCAGCGGGATGAGCCATGGGTACAAGGAGAAAAGAATATTAGCAGGCTGTGAGGATGTTAGCTGTTGTGCCCTATCCCTGAGGTTTTTTTTATCCTGTCTCTAACTATGCTAGATTTATTGGTGAAGAAACAACAATCCTCTCCTAGGAAAAGGCATAGCCTGCTCTTTTCATCTGTGAGGAGATCTAATCCCCTCCTGTTTTGAATGCAAGGTCACAATGGGAAAATAAGGGGTCCCAGTAGAGGGAAGACCCATTGTATCCACTTAGCCCAGGAAGACCACTGTTCCCAGCTGCCCATTGTTCATTGTTGGAGATTGGCATCGAGTTCTCAAAGTCTCTTAGTGGCATCATTAATGATCCTGGACTAGCTGACATAAAAGCAGCATTGACATAAAAACAGCATTCTTTGGACATGGTTTTGTGTGGCAACCTGTATAAAGAAATGTAGCCTTTGGGAGATAAAGTGAGTCATGCAGTTAAATACACATGGGCCAATGGTTATCAGCATGAGAAGGAAAACCAAGAGACTTTGGGATACAGACCTTGGCTCTAGGTTTAAGTAGACAGAAGAACTGGAGGCAGGGG